TATATAAACGTAGGAGTTTACAAAAATACAAAAGTTTTTTGATGAAAGTTGTGTGTTTCTGTGAAGTTTGTTTGTTGTAACCTAATATAGTCAGGATTGGTTTCGGAAATAAGTTTTTGTATGCGTGCCAGGCGAGGATAGGATGCATCGCAGTTCCATTGGATAATTATAAATATGTTAATAAAAATATATTTGAGATGTCTGTAAGTTTTGAGATATGACAGGGATGTACTCATTAGTTGTTTCGTGTGAGCAGTCAAGATTGGATAATTTTGTAGAATTACCCATTAAGAGTTCGGTTTTGTCTTTAAATTTTTTTATAAGACGAGGTAACATATTTTTGGTTGATTTCTTAATAAGGTTGTGATAGAATTAGTATACCGTAGCTATAAGTGATTTGATGTCTGGTGTGAATTTTAATGCTTTTGCGTATGGATTACTACTACCGTAACACTTTTCAAAAAGAGCAATTATGTTATCTACTGGGATTATGAGAATTTGTGGAGTTTTCTTTATCAAGTTTAATGTATGGTGTTTTTGACATTTGGATGGCACTTAAGTCACAATTTGATCTTTTAAATTTTTTCTTGCTTTGTGGTTTGGAAAACCCGGCATGTATATTAGTTTGTTCACTATGAGTAGGTTCTTGAGTTATGCTAGCTCTGTTGCTAATAAAATAAAGTTCTGAGTGTGTACGTTCTTAGTATGTTTGTGTATCTGTCATATGTTAAATTGGTTATTCGAATGAGTAGTTGTTATTTGAGAATGTAAGTGGTATAATAATGACTGAAGGAGATATCTCTGTTGGTCTGAAAGGTACAGTGTTGGTTTTTGGGCTTTTTTCAGTAGACCACGGGATTCGACTCTTAAGGAAGAAAAAAAGAGATGAGAACACTAAATTGTTTGGTTAGAAGAGGGGACAATCTAAGAGGACATTGTGCAATTTGAAGCGACATGCCCTGATCGTTTACGAGACGAAACATTTCCATTTTGGTCAGTAGAAAGAAATATGGCGGTTCTCTATTAACTTTGAAAGAGAGAACAGAGAGAGGCAGCTAAAAAGATTCGGAGGGCAGAAATAACATATAAACTTGTCTTCTAAATCTGAGGATATGTGAGAATTTTCCCCCAGTAATGCCTGTTTTAAAAAATAATACTTGTAAAGCAATTATTAGACCTAGGCTTTTTACAGCGGTCTTGATAATTTTACGTGGGATACACGGGGAGACATTGGATATTAAGATTCTCTTAGTAGGAGAAACGAGTTTACGTTTCTTTAAAAGTTAGTGATTTGTATGGTAGGATGAGATTTTACAGGTTCATCTACTATGTTTTTTACATTAAACATTAAACTTGTCATTTCTAACTATTTATAATTATTAAACTAATACTAATTATGACACAAAATTTGGAAAATTGTGGAGAAATTTAAAATTAATATTTACACTTTGACAGTTATTTGAAACTTTATTAAATATTTAATAATAAGTATAAAGACAAAACACCCATAGCACGTATAACTGTATTTCGAATTAATTATAATATTATGAAAAGTGGACATGTATAAGAATCCCAAAAAGTGGTTGCCCTGGTATTCGAAAGGAAACAAACATTGAAATTTTGTTTGTCGATGATTGAGGATCTTTATAAAGCTGCTAGAATGACCGTAACCAAAATCAAATTAGTTAAACAACTGCTTGATAAAAGATAAAAAAAAAAAATGTTACCTATCCAATAAAACCACGCGTAAGTATTAAATCTAGATAAATAACGTAGCACTAAATGAAATCAATGAAACTCATAACAAAACAAAAATAAATGCAAGCCTTCAGAAGTGGACAACCCCGATAACAGAAAAACGAACATCCAAAATAAGTACAAAATTACCAAAGATGTTGAAACAAACAAAAAGTTCTTCTGAGACAAAACAAAAGAGATACTGCAGAATTTATTCGAAGTCTCAAATGCGCCTAACCGAAACTAGGAAAGAAAACATAATAACCATTAGAAATTAACAAGGACAAACAAGAAAGTAAAAGATCTAGATATAGCAAACTTAATTGAAAAGTTTTATGCATGCTGTAAGCGGTATCGTAGAGAACCCCTTAAACCAGAACTTGAAAAGGCCAATAACAAATGTAAACCCAGAAGTGACGCCCGAAATAAGCCAAGAAAAAATAGAAAGAGCAGTAAATACTACTAAGTACTAATAAACTAATTTATATTCACCAACGTATAAGGAATTTAAAAAGATTATTATAAACAGGTTAACAATTAAATTTGACAGATATTAACCAGTAAAACAAGCCGGATTTAGAAAATGATACAGCATTTGTGACTATCCATATACCTTGAAAATTCTAATGGAAAACATTAACGAATATAATCTCCCATTATGTCTGGCTTTTATGGATTATGAAAATCGTTTGATAGCGTAAAACTGTGAGCAATAGAAGAAGCGTTAGTCAACAACATTGACTTCAGGTACAGAATATTAATACATAATATTTACGAATACAAGAGCTGAAATGATAGTGACGTAGGGAAGTCGAAATCGAAACAAGACTAGTAAAAATCAAAACCGAGGCCTAGGCGAGAGCAGCGTGAGCAGCGCATAATATATCCAAACTTATTTACTGTTGCCGTAGAAGATATTTTTAAGTCAAAAGACTGTGAAAATAAGGGAATGCATAATAACAGAAGATACTTAAACCATACTATATACACAAGTAATGTAGTACTAATAGCCAACACGTGAAATGCACTGAATACGATGATTGTAATTGAAACTAATGTCAAACAGTGATGACAAACCTAAGATAAAACATCCAAGGACAGAGAGTTGAACACTAAAGATTAATATACATAGCTGGGTCAAAAGTCAAGGTAAAGCAAAGAAAATCAGGCTACCGAAATAAAGAGGATTGTGTAAAAATGTACCTCAACGACTGCGAACCAAAGTGTTTAATTTCTGTACCCTACCTGTACTTACATATGGAGCTCAAAATGGGACATTTACTAAAATAAAACTCAAAAAGAATCGGAAAAACTCAGAGAGCTCTGGAACGACAAATGCAGGTATCCTCTCTCAACAAGACCATAAACCAATGAAAATATTATGTGGATGATACAAAGGAACGTTTCAAGAATGTCCGATGAAAATAAAGCAGTAGGGAATTTGGCTGTCATAATGAAAGCCAAAAGACCACAAGGAAGACCCACAAATGCGCCTGAGCAAACGATATTAAAAAAGAACAGTCCTGACCAATTATGGAAACGTCCTACAAACAACCAGACATGAATGGCGAGAATTAGGTGGTAGGTCTCTATATTCGGCACTTCCAATCAGAAAAAGCCCACATAATATATATAATATATATATATATATATATAACTATATATATAATATAATATATATATATGTATATAAAATATATAAATAAATTAATATAATATACTAGAGATATATATAAAATATAACTATATATATAAATATATATATATATATATATACTTATATAACAAAGATATAGAGCAAGAAAAGCGGAAGTACTTGTGACTAAGTTAGGAAAAAAAGATACAGAGTGGCCGCAAAAGTCTGGAAACGGCTAATTATCTCGTAAATTACCAGACATATTTATACAAAATTTGAGGTACGCCTATTTTGGGATACGGAGATTCCATATTTGGTATTTGCAATATTGCCAGATTTTCAGTTTCTCTTATATTACTAGTAACTTTGGTTTTTCAAATGCATCACCCTATATATTCAGTCATTATTGGAATCTCCTATTAAACACGAGTTCAACCATATGTAACAATTATGATTTTATGTAGTCTGGAAGGTCTTAAATACATAAAACCGAAGTCTGGCAACGCCTAAATTGTTTCAATACATTTTTTAATACTATCTATTTTTAAATACATTAAAACGTAACAATTGATAGTTTAGTATATTTTTAACATAATAGTTACGTTATTAAGTGTTCAAAATGTGTTCCATTTGTGAGTTGACAGCACTCTAATCGATGGTAGAATGGCATCTACCACATTTCTCCATGATTGTCTAGAAATTATTCGAGATTCATCGATAATTCATTGCCTTAGCTATGCAAGACTTGCTGGTTAAGTTTTTGTAAACTGAATTTTTCAGTATCTCTAATAAAAATAATCTTTAGGGATTGAGATCGGTGAACGGGAGGCCATCAATTCTACATTGTCTACCAATTTATCGTCCGGGAAATATCTCATCTAAATAACGCCGAACATTTACACACAACTATCTGACGTTAAATTTCTTTCGATAAAAAATGGTCCAAATAAATAAGTACCTACTATTACTGACCATATATTTAATTTTTGTGGTCTTTGAGTATGGTTTTCACGCATTCAGTGTGAATTTCACACGAGTTTAGCTATTCCATACGAGTTCAACCATATGTTCACTTGATTTTATGAACCATGTGATAATGGTTACATATATATAGTCAATGGTAATTGGCTGCGATAAACCAACAGAATTAGAAGAAATTATGAGAGGCCTATGTTCTACTTTAGACGCAGAAGTTTGCTCGATGATAAATTTGTATACGGTTCGGCTTGTCTTACGCTACTGTTACTTTCTCTTCCTCTTTAGCAAAATTGTTATTTTAAAAATTTGTGTCTGTTAAGAAAAAAAGGATAATAGTAAGTTAGAAAGAAGACAAAACAAAGCTTAGTGCTGTGTTGTGTATCAACTATAGTGCATAGCTATTAGATAAAGTAAGGACACCATAGAGTTTAGCTATTTTCACCTATATTAGTACGATTTAGTGATTTAAATGAAAAAAGAATTGATACTCGGTCAATTGTGACTAGATTACAGTGGTATGAACAGAACTAAGATGCTTGATAAAAATGAGCCACTGTTCCTCTTATTTTATATAAAAACCCTTTATATAAACTACTTTAACTAGTAAAATGGTTTATTCTTTAGGACATATTTTTACGTTTTTCATTATTGTTATCTTGATCCTAACACGTTTAAGTAGTATAGCAATTTTTATAATATCCACCAATATTTGACATCTATTTATTAAGTTAAACGTGTTGTTATAATCTACTATTTGTATATATTCAAAATATAAGTTAATTTAAACATTCTCACTTACCACACCGATTTTATCAAAATAGCATTTCATGAAACATTTTAGTTTAGCATCTTGAACAAAATCTCCACTTCTGGCTTTGTCAATGACATCTGTAAAAGAAACATAGTAGCTGTTAAAAACTATAAAAATTAAAAAAAAAGAGGTTAGTCTTCGTAAGTGGGTATATTTATTTAAAAAAACCCTTAAAAGGGCTACATCACAAAAACAAACGTTTTCGGACTAAACAGTCCATCATCAGGTTTAAATTTTAAAATTGCTAGGTTAAAATGTCTGAGCCACCAAAATACATGGTAAAAACCCTTTAAATTACATATAGTTGTAAAAGATTATAAATCTTGTTGTTATTAAACTGTGATGTTCAGTATTAAATTAAATATGACTTCAGGTAACATATACTCCATTCCACGAATATACGACTGTTTTAAATTCGCTTTAAGTGTCGATTTAAATGGTCCAATGGACTGAATTGTACAATAATCAATTCTCCCCATTTTTAAAATACTGTTACGACAGATATAAAACCTTACATTTAAATATGAAGTCATGATATAAATATAAACTTAATAGTTTATAAAACAGTTATAATTCAGATTTTGAAGTATATAATTACTATCATGGAGTTTATTTTTTCATTTTAATAATTTCATTGTAAACCAGTTGGTTTTTGAATTATGTGATTTAAACGAAATGTAACAATACTTAAGTGATCAAGTAGTGTAAATTTTTTAGTCGAATATTCAAATATTATTAAAAAAAAACAAAAAAACTTACTTATTCACTTATTCTCTTAATCTTCTAAAACTATCATCAACGATCAGATTCACAGCCATAATCAGTCGGCGATATATGAAACTGTATATAAATTTTCGTTACTTTTTAATACCTGTAACGACTCGGTACTTTAACTATCAATAACCGGTATGTTATATCCTGTTACTTTCGAGAACTTTTAAGAGTAATAAACTCAAAGCAAATATTTAAAACTAAAAAAAGTGAAATATTAGATCCTTTTTCTGGTTTGTGAACATCGTTCTGCCAATTTCTTTTTATTTATATTAAAAATAGTATATTTCTTTCTATTACAGTTATAATACCTAATAAAGAAATAAAATGTGTTATCCCGTCACGCCTCTTTGGTGTTTACATTTCACGGAAATCTTACCCAAATGTCTGATGAACACATTTGGCTTCATAGACGTCATTGTATTATTTGTAGATTTTAACTGAAATAGATTAGTTTAGATATCATACTAGTGGACCCTTTTTATTGAAATAATGATTAGACCAATTGACCTTCATACTTCTACTTGCACAGTAAAATATTCGTTGTCGGAGTAAACCAAAACAGTCGTATATTCGTGGAATAGCCTATACATTGTTGAATTGAGTTCCAGAGCCGCTGCAGAACAGCTGGAAACTGAATCAGTTTCCAGCTGTTCTCCGTGTATAGAGGTTTACTTCCCGGCTCCGAAACTCAATTCAACAATGTATGTTACCTGAAGTCATATTTAATTTAATACTGAACATCACAGTTTATTAACAACAAGATGTATAATCTTTTACAACTATATATAATTTAAAGGGTTTTTACCCATGTATTTTGGTGGCTCAGGCATTTTAACCTAGCAATTTTAAAATTTAAACCTGATGATGGACTGTTTAATCCGAAAACGTTGGTTTTTGTGATGTAGCCCTTTTTTTGAATAAATATACCCACTTACGAAGACTAACCTCTTTTTTGTGATACGTGGTATACAGCCAGCTACAGGAATTGTTTTCCTTGTGGATTTTATAAAAATTAGATTACCAGCTTAAACAAATTAAGTACTTTCGGACCAACTTAAATAGCAAATGAGGCTTCTACGTGAAAACAAAGATAATAACAGTAATACCTTAACTAAGTTTTGGTAAATTTGGTAACTATATCCTCCGAACTAAAGTTTCGTTAAACCTTCTAATCCAGTTCTTAAAGTAGCTCATATAGCCCATGCTGATTAACGCAATTAAGACCTATAAATTAACGTAAGATATCTGAATCATGTCGTAGCTTTTACAATGTGGCGCCTTAGAAGATCATGTTGCATGTACCAAGTTACAAATTAAGTACTAGTATAGGTACTAAGAAGAGAATAAATGCATGAAAAAGGGAAGGCACATGTGAACAGAGGCACAAGTGGACAAGCTTTTTCCATTTAGATTTCTTTTGAGGTGTTCGAACTCACTTTACTAGGTGGCACTTGTAATATATTTTTATTCCAAGAAATAAATTCGATGTCAGTTGTCATTTGTTTGTGTTACGAGGTTGTGTTACTTTTGCCGCTTAAAAGTAAATAAACAGTTTTTTACAGATTTTAATATTATTTAGTAACATTCTGTGTTTCCTTGTAAAGTGAATCGTATTTTGAATATTCTCATATTTGACCAGGTAAGCTTCTACAGTTTTATGCTAGTCATAACTCAAAACAGATATCCGGTACTTTTGAAAAACTATGCATACATGATAGATATCGACACCATACAGGAGAATAAGTTTACACCATAGATTTTTTTAAAACAAAACAACCTAAAATATCTTTTCTCTACCTTACAGTTTCTTTACAAAGGGCAGTAATATTCCTGAAAACGTAGTGGTTCAGGCCATTTGCAAAATACAAAATAGATAACAGATCAATCAGAAACGTAGCAGAGAGATATAAATTGAAGAATTACATGTTACATAAAAGATTAAAAAAACTGAATAAAAAAAATATAAATGATAGAGAAATACCCGAAATAAAGTTTTTATCAAAATATACAAAAGAGCAGATTCTTTTAAATGAACAAGAGGAGAGTCTAGTAAATTATCGTCGGCTTACAAGAGAAATACACTAAGTCAATTTTTTTCACTTTTGAGTTATTTGCAGCATTTTATTGTATTTTTTACTCTTTAGACTGGTTAAACTTACTAAGTCATACAATAACAAAATGGATTATTTTTATAATTATCATGCTTCTCACTAAGTCTCAAAAACTATATATGATTCAGGCAAAACACACTAAGTGACTTAATGTATTTCTACGAATGAACCTACCGACTGACTTACGTAGAGCAGCTTGTCCAATCTTGTAAAAGATTAATTATTTGTTTGGGTATATTGCATAGGTTTTATCAGTTTTATTCCAGTGTTTTGCGTAATTAGGTCGTTAACAATTTTGAATTTTGTGTGTATTTATTAATTAATTTTTGTAAGAAAAATAAATTTTCTGTCGAACTACCTACAGCGATAAATAAAGACGTGAGCCTAAATTCTGAATAATTTTTTGTCAAGATATTAAGTCAGGTCCTCCTCAAATAAGTGACCAGGATTCTGATGAATGTATAGAGGATAACGACTAAATTCCTTCAGGTAATGAAAGTGATAATTTAGATACCAGCGAAGGAAACTTTAAAGCAGACGAGGAAAAAACAAATTCAAATGAAAATAGTCAAGTAGGACCTAAAAGAAGCCGATGGAATACCCCAAGACCATCTGTGTGGTCAACATCCCAAGACCATCAACTTTTCTGAAGAGAACCGGAAGTTACTATGTCAAACGTATGCGATGTTGTCATTTCAAAGACAATAAGATTTTATATTATTGAATGTGCTTTCTATTGAAGTAAAGAGTTGCAGGCCCAGAAAAGGAGAAAATAGCAAAATGCGATCCAACGCAAAATCCTATTTTTTACAAATATGGGAAAGAAAAGTCAAGTGTGTCAGAAATTTTTTTGTAAAACATTTGTCTATTTCTAATAGGCCTATAATTAATGCCTTTAAAGAGCAAAATAAAAGCAGGCGAATATAGTGGAATAGACAGAAGGGGCCGTAGGATTCCTGGCAATAAAACTTCAGTAGAGCAAGAATAAGAACCAAAAAAAAAACACATTGAAAGCTTTCCCGTTGTAGAAAGTCACTACACTAGAAAGTCTTCGAAAAGACTTTATTTAGATTGCAATCTTAATATTAAAAAAATGCACGACCTGTTCGTTAAAAAGGTGTAAAGAGGACAATTTGCCAAGCTTAAGTCAGATCAACTTATAGGCGAATCTTTTGCAAGGAATTTAATATATCATTTTCAAACCTAAGAAAGACCAATGTTTGACCTGTAAGGAATACACAAAAGCATCGCAACAAGAAAAAGAAGCGATGGAGCTTAATTATAGGAGTCATTTAGACAGAAAAGAGGCTGGCAATGAAAGAAAAAAAATCAGACACAGAAGTATCGAAAAAGAAATAAAAATTTAAATCAATTACATATTATGATATGCAAAGCGTTTGTACAAATTCCATCATCGCAAGTAAGTCTCTTGTATTATCTTAGAAAGCTGAACCTTTATAATTTTAACAATTTAGGAATGTGCTCCACCAAATGAAGCATTCTGTTATTTTTGGACCAAAGTCAATGGTAAAGAGTGGAAGCCGTGAAATTGGTACTTGCCTAGAATATAAATTAATTCATTATCTGATATAGAACATCTAACGATTTTTTCAGATACGTGTGGAGGACAGAACAAAAATATTCAAGTATCTGCTCTGCTTTTACATACTGTTAAAAACCATTCGAGTCTTCGGATAATTGAGCAAAAGTTTATGGAAAGTGGACACTCCTATATGGAAGTAGATTTCATGCATAGCGCTATTGAAAGTGCCAAAAAAAATGTGGAGATTTTTAGTGTTCACAATTATGAAAATGTCTTTTAAAATGGCCAGAATTGGCAACAATGGGAATAAAAAATCTTCCTATAATACTCGTGAAGTTAATTATAACGAATTCTTAGATTGAAAAACTTGCACAATACTATTGTTAATAAGAAAAAGGATCAAAAAGAGCAAACGGTCAACTGGTTAAAGGTAAAGTGTTTTAAATATGAGAAACAGTTTCCTAACATTCTACAGTACAAGTATAATTTTCACGACGAATATGAAAATATTAACGTTAGTTTTGTACGTCGTGCTTCTAACAGAACAGTCAAAGAGGATAATATATAATGAAAATTTGGTTATTCCTCAATTATAATCTAAAAAGCTTCCAATTCGGATGCATAAGAAAAAAATTTGATAAAGCTCTGTGAAAAATATAGTCCGCAAGCGCTCCATACCTGGTTCAAAAATCTACCAAGTTCCTTCTGTTCTTCTGTTTTGTGAAAATATGCACATGAAAAAAAGTAAAAAACATTATATAAGCAAAAATTAATTGTATTATTTTACAATATAAACGAAGCCTGCAATAATCGTATGACAGTAAGTAAATAAAAAAAATACACGTAAGTCATACTTTCATAGCAAAATTAAACAAGAAAAATACACTATTTTAAATGCTACAGTAAAAAACATTAAGTCAACGTATTCAAATCGAAAATTAAACAAAAATTAATAATTTGGTAAATATATAATTTACTTCTCCTCGCCAGTAATCATTATTAATACTTTATGAAAACTTTCGTATAATTACAAAACAACAAATAAAAGTTTTAAATGTGAAAATTGATCTAACTGTTTTTAAAAAATTTAAAACACGATTATTTTTTCAAAACTATATTTTTTGACTTAGTGGTGTTTCGCTTGTAAGCCGACGTTATATTCTTTAAAACTATAGTATGATTTAACGTACTTTCAAATTCGAACATTAGCATATGAGTATGCTCTAAGGCTTGAAAAAAATGTGCCAAACTCATGGTCGGAAAATAATTTTGCTGAAATTGAGTGGACGAAAGGTTTCGTGGAGCGTCAGAGACTTTTAATGAAGTTGATAGTTAGAGTATAAATATCCTCTTAACAATAGGGTAATTAAAATTATACTGTCCAAATTTTTATTAGTATATACCAGTGTAACACATGTCTGACATTATCCAAACCAATTTTTTTTATAAGTTTTGTTCAATCATAATACTCTTTCCCAAAAATGGTGGATTCGGCATGTTTCTTTTATGTATAACCACACTCAGTTTGACTGGACAGAGCTAAAAATAGGTTGGACGCGAATGTCTTAAAGACCCAGGTCAATAAATTCGATAAGTAGATATTGTTGTATACATACACAAATATGCAATTTTTGAAAAATTTGCTATTTTTTAACAGCTGTACTTTTGAATCTTCTAAATGGATTATAATTCGGCGGGCGAACTTTCGACACCAAATTGTCTTTGTACCTGGGGTAATCGAAGGGTCAAATTTTATTATAGGAAATTTCGACACCGCCGCACCGTGGCGTGAAGCAGGTAGGTAGGTAATTAGCGGCGATGGACATTTGCACCCAAGCAGGACAAGCGGGTTTTCCCAATATTTATTGTCACGGCGGGGGGCGTGGCACTTGTGTACTTGTGACTAAATTATTTCAGTTGTAATTTATTTCTTGTTTGACGTTGACTTGTGCACGTATACGGATATTTAAAAAATGAGTTTGATAAAAAGTTCCCGTGGTCGAGATTTATTAGTGGTGGAGCATCATTCGTTCTCGAAACAGAAAGTGTTAAAAAGCGGCGAGATATTTTGGCGCTGCATCCAACGAAACACTAAGTGTTCCGCAAAAGTGTTTACAATACGCTGTGAGGACCTCACCATCACAAGAAGTGATTTGGTACATGATCATGAAGCCGATCCAAAAAAGCTTGAAGTAAAGATGGTAACCAATGCATGTAAAAGAAAAGCCCAAGGGTACCTATCGGAAAAGCCTGCCAAAATTACAAGAACTGCTGTTGCTGAGTGTGATGCCAATTTGCTGACGGTTCCTGACATAGCTAGCATAAGAAAGAACATTTACAACTGTCATCGTAAACTGTTACCAGGTCCGTTACTAAGAAGCATATCAGAAGTCCATAACTTCACCAGTAGTGTAAGTTTCACTTACACCAAAACTGGTTTAAAAAAATTCAATCTTTGGGTTTGGTACAAGAATATAAGGATACAAATTCAGAAATTGGAAAATGGTTAAGGCATAGGTTTGGTTTAACTTATTTAAATCCAGCAGAAGTTGAAGAATGCTTTCTTTATGATTTAATGTCATATAAACCTATAAACGCAACACTTGATATATATGCAGATTATTTTACTGGAAAATTACATTTTCGATAGCGCTCTATTTCCGCCACACACATGGTCTAATCAGCATCCGTCTATTGCGAGGACCACAAATGCCTGTGAATCCTTTCATTCGAGATTTAATTCTTCTTTTTATTCAACACATCCTTCTATTTTTATTGAAAAGTTAAAAGAATTTTAAGTAGACACTTATGTCAAAATAAATAGTTTACATATACCAACAAAAATCAAAGATACTACTGTTAAGGCTAAATTGGCATTTTTGTGGAGAAAATGATGGATAAACTACGATCCCAACAAATACGTAGGTTAGATTTTATAAAAGCTGTATCTTATCATTCCTATAATAGCAAATAAATCATTGTTATTTATTTATTTATCGTATGGCAATTACAACACATTTAGAACAAAATTACAAACACTATTAATATAGGTATATGACAAACTTTAAATAATTACCAACAAACATCAAGTGTATTAACATAATCAATTGACTCTGAAGTTGCAAAGAGGAAGTCTTCAGGGCTACCGTTATAGGATCTTGAGGGACACTCTTCAATAATGTGGTCGATCGTTTGGTCCTTCCCACAGTCACATTGAGGAGACGGATTCTTTCCCCATTTATGTAGCATGTATGCACATCTGCCATGTCTGGTTCGGATCCTGTTTAGAGTGGACCATGTTTTACGTGGAAGATCAAAACCTAGTGGCTTGTGGGTAATACAGGGCATGTTATTTTGCCATGCATTCCATTCTTGGGACCATGCATTCGTGATGTTGAGCTCCTCATGTATCATTCTTGCCGTTTTCATTGGTGGTTTTCTAGAACGTAGACGGGTATTTCGTGCATCCTCGGTATCTTGATGGATAAATCATTGTATACAAGTATATTAACGGTAAAATGTACAAAAATTGGGTACTAGTTGTATTATATTTAGATATTATTACAGTTATAAAGAAATAAAATGCACATTACTTTTATTAAAATAAATAAACTAATTAATTATGGTATTTTATTTATGTCGCAGCTATATTTATTTGGTGTCGAATATACCTGTAAGATAAAATCGGGAATTGGGGCTGGTGTCGAAAATTACCATTAAATTTTAGTCGCTACCTGCTTAGTGTCGAAATTTCCTACGCCCTTATAATTTACCGATGCTAGTTTTAAAGGTATTTAGATATCCTTTAATTTACCTGTTGTTTCAGTTTTTTCGTCATTTAGTTAAATTTTGAAAATTAATTAAAAATCATAAAATTTTATTACTTTTCGTTTCGGTCTTGCCCTAGAAAATAAAACTTTTGTTTTGCTGTTTTATGAATTATTTCGTCAGAAAGTTGATACTAAAACTACAAAAAATACGACTTTGTGAGTTAAAATTATTTATCCAATTAAGATAAAATACGATACCCATAATAAAATGTCTAAAAGATACTGATCCATAACCTTTTTTAGTTATACATTATTACAAAAATTATTCTTAAACTCACCTTCAGAAACTCCAATTTCTGATACACACATAGTATGTATAGAATGCATATGCTGTTGCTGTTTTTCTGTTAGAGAAGCCTAAAAAATAGCTTGTTGAATGGATAGAAATTCTGAAATAAAGCAATGTATAATAGACCAAGAGCTGGTGTACCCTCCGAGTAACGATATGTCTACATGGGTAGAAATTTTAATAGTGATAAGTGAGGAGCGGATTTTATGGTAAAAGCATATTGCCAAATGTTGTAACATTTTAAAAGAAATATACATATTAAGTGAATTTAAAAAGGTTTTTTCCAAAAAAAAAATATGATTAAATTTTTTAATTTGACACAAAATATTCCCCGCACATGTGGTTGTATGTTTGCGAGAACTACACGAAGTCGGATCATTCACTAAAATTTCGGTTTTTTTATAGAAAACACCCGATCTTTACCCACAAAGTGCGCAGAGAACGCCGTCATAAAATGTTTGTATGGATGGTTTACCGGTAAATGTGGATTTTATTACATTTAGTAGGTATAATTTTAAATACCTTATTGTTAGGAGGATATTTATACCTTTTAAGATTTTATAACGGACATTTAATTGGGATTTAAATTAGATCTCTTTTGTTCGTCGAATGAATGTGTAGTATTGACCACCCAATAGACCAGCGGTGCTCAAAGGGTCGATCGCGATTAATCGGTCGATCGCCAAAGTTTTTGAAGTCGATCGCGATTCACGGAAAAATATAGGGACTGTCCTGACTTACCACATAAGCATGATCCAAATAATTATGATGCTATCTCTTCATCCGAAATTTGCGATAATGCCGAGTCGATATATCAGCACGCACGGATAAATTAAGCTGGGAGTGGGTATCAGCATTGTATTGCTGTTAGTCAAGTATTATTCATTCATTACTAAGGTATTACTAGTAAAACATTGAAGTAATATATTATTTACATTAATATTTGAAACTCTATATGAGTGCCGCGAAAAAGAGTAAAACATATCATTTTAATAATGCGTGGAAAGAAGAACTCCTGTTTACTATGGTGAAAGATAAGTGTATTTGTCTTATTTGTTGGTCTTTTGGTGCTCTGCCCAAACGCGGAAATGTAGAACGCCATTATAAAACTTTGCATAAAAACTATGAAAATAATTTTCCGGAAAACATTTTGTTTAGAAAACGGAAAGTGCAAGACTTGAAAAGTAGTTTGAAGACGGAAGTAGTTTGAACAATCAATGTCCACTAGGCCTGGTAACAATCAGTAGCTACAAAAAATTGCGTAGTTCAAAATTTCTTATTTATTGGCACAACATAAGATGGAGAGTTAGTGAAGGAAGCATTCATTTAGTAATATTTAAGGACTTCAAAAATAAAACAGATATTATGTCTGCCATCAAAGAAGTCCAGTTATCACGTCCAAAGATTACTAGATGTATCGAAATCACGGGCAAAGATTTGGAAAGCCAAGTTAAAAGTGATATTATAAAGTTTATGTACTTTTCTTTGCAATTTGATGAGTCAACCGATATGACTGATACCGCCCAGTTGTGTATTTTCATTCGGATGGTATTTTCTGACATGTCGGCTAAAGAAAAATTATTATGATTGCTCTGAAAAAGAAAACTCGCGAAGAAAATACATACAACGTTTTTATAAATTTTGTGAAACAATACGAGCTACCGATTTACAAACACGTGTGTATTACAATAGATGGTTGCTAGTCATGGATTACCATGATTACCATCCATGACTGGCGGTAACAATAGATTTGTTGCATTATGTCGAGCTAACGATGGACTTTCCATCGTTTTTTCATTTAATTGCAACATTCACCAGCAAGTTTTGTGTTTCAAAATTTTAAATATGTATGACATCATGAAGATGACAACAAAAATTGTGAACTCAATCAGAGTGCGAAGCTTGCAACGACGTCTTTTTAAATCGCAATTGGAAGCTAATGACTCGGCGGAACACACTGATTTACTTCTGCGTACAGATGTGAGGTGGTTGAGCCGTAGAAAATTTTTAGATAGGTTCCAGGAGCTACTTCCCGAAATAATTTCTTTTTTAGAAGAACGAGGGGACGATACTATTTCAAAACAAAAACTGGCTCAGTTATCTGGCTTTCCTAGCAGATTTAACAAATCATTTGAACCTCCTTAATTTTGATGTACAAGGTAAAAAAATAAAACAATTATCGATATGATAAGCGCAATATATTCTTTTGTCAACAAATTGCAATTACTGATTAAGCAAATTGGCAGAAAGAATTTAAACAACTTTCCATCGTTGAAAAAAGGGCAGCCGCTCATTTGAATTATGCTTATTACGAGACGGAGCTGCAAGCACTTCATAGCGAGTTTGAAAGACGCTTCGCTGATTTTAAAAAATTGACAGATACTGTAACAAGTAGCTCTGCAGCTCACAGTATTCTTTGGGTCAACATACTTGTGTGAGTCTGCATTTTCCCAAATGAAGATAGTGAAATCAAAATATGGTAATCGGCTAACGGACGAACATCTCTCTTTGTTTCAACATCCAAATAAAATTAATATGAAAAACATGACTTTAATTACAACTCTCTGTAGTTACAACTTTTTATCAACTAGAAAGGTATAATAAAGTTTTTTATTTTCAAAATTGTTTTTTTTACTATGCTTTGTTTTTAAACCAGGAGGAGTAAACTAAAGAGACATATTCACACCCACGAAAGTCACTAGAAAAGTTACCAAATATATTTTTTTTTTTTTGGTTGATCATATCGGCCTTTGGCGGTAATCCAAAAATATTATATTATACTACTAAGTCGCTAAAGAGTTCTATAAACAATTGTTTTTTATATAAAAGCAGACTAGGAACCTAAAAATTAAAGAAATAACGCAGAAAACACAAAAAATCGCAAATATAACTTAATTAACCTATGAAATGCCATTAGTGTCAAAATTTCATAACAGTGGAGTAAACTTGCCTGAGGTTGGACCAATTACAAACAAACATTGCGGCGCGGTAGATTTGAATTACTCCTCCTGGTTTAAAAACAGGGTATAGCAGTCGATCTCTGGACGCCTGCAGTTTATGTGGTAGATTCTACTCAGTATAAGTCTGAGCACCACTGCAGTAGACTTATAGCTGATTAAACCTAGATTACCGCCATTGGTAAAATTGACGATCCGCATACTTCTTTAAATATTTTCGGCTACATACAGTCACCGCTCGGGATTTGGACCGCTCGTTACCTTCTAGTTTAGTCGTTATCTGAATAGCGTTGTGTAAAGTTGTACCACTTAAAATTGCTACAATATAGTTTTCACACCTTCGTCGTCAATTTTTAGAAGCTCCGGTATCTACGACAGTTTTATTAGTAGGTCTACATTTTTTTTTGACTTTTAAGGGTCCTCTTTAAAGGGTCGTAGTATTGTTAATCCGGCTCGAAGTACCATGTATAAGATCGGATAGGGTGCTTAGACTTAGGATAAGGAATAACTTCACCCCCTGGATATTTTGCTTTTTAGATAGCTCATGGACTGTATATTTATTTCTTCTCTAAGGTTTGTTAAATGTTACTGCATACTCAAACGTTTAATTGGCTTATCTTTAAGGGTTGTTAAGTATTATCTTTAATAAAACTCATTTCATCGCAAAAAAACATGTATTGACAATAGCAGGACTATAGTACATTTAAGTTAGTTACTAGTACATACAACTATCCATAGATTGAGAATTTTCATCTTTTCCTATTTTTCCATTTACCAAGAACAGAAGCGCTGTTCTTGATTCGATTGTAAAGTTTATCTAATCTACAGTGAGATCTGGTATCCATGTTAATTACAGCAGTCGATGAGCACGTCATTTGTATTTTAGTTAATCGAAATTAATTAGAAATATCCATAGATATTTCAAATGAAGTGTATAATAAACCACAATTAGTAGATTTGTTGAAGTAGGCAACGGGAATACCACGCTCATTTTCATTTTCCTCGGTATAACTAAAATCATTTGGTATTTGGTCTGACTCGCTGTTATGAGGTACCCCATTACCGTTATGTATTTGTTATCAGTATTGACTTCTGTGTTAAATATGAGTTGTGTTCCTATTTCTACACCTTGAGGAAGGACCTGCCTTGTCTTTTCTATCGCTTTCGCAATTTGTTGTGGCTTTATTATATCTATAAAATTCCCGTGGTTATACTGCGAATTCAATATCCCTTTGTATATTTTTATGTATTCCTAGTGTATGAATATCATTACTTTTTGAGAGGTTGTTTGTATTTTAAGTGTAATGTCTTCTTTCTCTAATATCTTTGTTCTCTGCATTACGGCGTTAAGCCCTTGAAATATTTGAAGTATTCTTTTTGTGAATGCATCTTGAAATCTGTTATGGTGTCTGTTTATCCTCATTTTCGTATAGTTATTCGATGCTATTGTTTCTAACACAATCTTTGTCTAATTTTTTTTGTCCTGTTATAAGTTACCTTTGATTCTTTTCCAGTACCTTAATATGCTTTATCATTCATTACAAAAAAAAATGTTTGTAAACCTCCTAATACTTCTCTTTTTTGCTTGTTTTATTTCGATTGACAGTAATTTACTTGTCATTTTTACTGTTTTATTTTCTTTATTAAATTTATCTAGTATGTAGTTAGACACATGTCATATAATCCTTGCATCATAGTTCATTCTAAAATTCCCCTTTCTATTACCACATCTTCTAATGTTTCAATAAATTATCCTGATTCTGGTTTTTATACTTTGTATAATACTGCGTTAATATCGTAATAATGTCTATCTGACTCAAAGCCTCATGTATAAGATTGGAGAGATTTATTGATTACATTAAAAAACAATATTAATACCTACTCTTATTCTATTGTGATAATGGTGTATAAGATTGGGGAGCTTGTTTATGCTTAGGATCATGAATAGCTTCAGCCCTTGGATCTTTTGCTTCTTTGATAGCATAGAAGTCTAATTTAGCGTTCTTTTTGATAATTTTTGTGAAAAGTTTATATATGTGGAATAAAACATACAGAAGTTAAAACACTTATTAATTGTATTTTGGTATAAAAAACATATAGTTAAAACTTTT